CACAATCTTGCCTGCTGTATGAGGAGAATGTAGAAAAATAAACAATAAAAAGGCACTCCAAACATCTCTTTTGGAGAAATAAACTGGTATCACTATTTTTCTTTCCATTTGAGCTGTCTCATCTTTGGCAAGTGAAATCAGAATTTTCACTTGTAAAACCAAATTTTTCCATTTCTTTCCTGGCAAGGGGTAAGAACAAGCCCACCAATGCTTTCTAATTAGTTCAGAACTGGATTTGCTAAAAATTTTGGGACCTTCTTTTATTGTTTAGGTCATTCTGCCCTAGTTACTTCAGAGAGAGATTCCCTGCAGGTAAGATTTAGAGTAGGTGAAGAGTTATGAACACTGGCTGTGAGCGATGAAATATTCCAGCGTTTGTGGGCCAGCGGCTGTCAGTTATTCTCAAACCTGACTGGGCATCTTGGCTAAGACAGTGTTCCAGCATAGACTGGTTAAAAAAAGTAATTTTTAAAAGGTAAAGGATGGGTCTCTTTAGGCCTCAAAGAACCATATGAAAACATGAGGACAGGTAGACGGAACAATTAAAAAGTCTTCAGAGTTCCAAGGAGGGAGCTCTCTCCCGTCAGGTGATAGGTGAGCTATAGCTGTCCTGTGAGGAGAGCTCCAGGACAGTGGGGCCAACTTGCCATTAGCTGTGGGACGGTATGTGACAAGAACAGACTTGACATAAGACATGAAAGGCTGGAAGTCAGCAGGGAAGGGTAAAGGGATAAGGCTTTCCTCGAGGGGACAAAGACAATTGTGACCAACTGCAGTCCTCCCTCCTGTTTGCACATCAGCAAGCTTGTGTCAGCAAAGTGGGATGGACAAGAAAACTGGGTGCAGCTTGATGATTTTTGAACAGGTGTAGCAAGCCGCTGCCAACAGAGCAAATCATTTTTGGACAAGCAAAGTTCTCCGGGAGTCCACTGTTTCTGAAAACAAAGATCTGTGGCAAACATTTCCTTTGTTAGTAGATTCTTTGTGGGACCAGGTTGTCCTTAGCAAAAGAGGTTACAGAGGAGTTGCAGAAGTTGGGTAACTTATAGAGTCTCAGTGTTTGGGGGCAATTGATAGACAGTACCCTATGATGCTGCGATCCTAGGGCTTCCCTCCTTGTGCCAGCTCCCCCCTGGAGGCCAAGGTTCTGAAAGGAAGAAAACTTGTGTCAGCCATCACCTGTGAGCATCCAGCACTTGGCACGGTACCTGGCACCCAGGAGGCTCTCAACAAAGGTAAATTGATGAGCCATGACACCTGGTGCCTTTCATAGAACAAAAATTAATTTGTCCTACAGGACTCCCGAGATGCAATTCTGCATTTTAATGTGTCTGCCGTAGTGTGGGGAATGTGATCATGAGGGGTTAGCTTGGCTGAAATAGTTCTTTTCTTCCTGTGGTGTTAACTGGTCAAATAAAGATAATGTGATTCTAATCTCTTCAAAGCCTTTTCTGATTCAAATATGGGAACGTGTTTCTGCAGATCAGGGCATTTGGGGGAACAGTTCAGCTAGATTAAAAAAGAAAAAAGCTTGAGTCATCTGAATATGGCCGACAGGGTTTCGCTATTTGTTAAGATGGGGATGCACTGCTACCTTCAAATGTCCTTACAATTAATTTGATGTATCATCCTTCCAGAATGATACAGGAATTACGATTTTCAATGTGACACAAACCATTCTTAGATAAATATGTATAACTTTTTAAAAAAATATAGCTGCTTTGAAAAACTTTTAAAATTTAGATGTACTCCATACGCACAGTTCAGAAAGATGGAATCCTGCCTCCTCCTCATACCTTACTGAAGAGGGAGCTGGAGGGAAGCCAAGCTCTTGCTGAACTCCAGCTGGCCACGGAGTCTAGATCTGCTGGGGCTGGAGAAGGGTATGACTGAGAAAGACAAGAGGCATTGCACAAACACGTTGCCAGAAAGGAATCTCCACGGACTGGTTTACTTGAAAACGGGTATTTCAAAAATGTCTTGTCCTGCTTAGGATAAAACCAGAAAAAGAGAACCTCAGCTTTGTAACATGCCCAATCGGAAAACTTTGAAAAACTCTGATTCTGTGTATTTCTTTTCCAACAGAATTAACATAGCAGCTGAACTTGGCCAAGAAGAGACCACAGTGGGGAATTAAATGCAGCTGTTTGCTTAACAGTGCTACCTAATTTTATTGTCTCTTTAACAAAAACATTTGAATTGTGCATTTCTATTGTTGTTTGAAGAAAAATGGTGAGACTACTCGAGTGCAACTGGAGAAGAGAGATTTGAGAGGCTTAATCTAATTTACCTTAGATACACTCCTCATTTAGGAGAATTTTATTTAATGGGTAACTTAATTTGGGTGGAGAGGTATCTTAATTGAAGTTGATTACTGTGGGATTTTTATGTGCACTAAGATGCTTTTTTGAGTTATGGCACCACATGATATAAAATTGAGTAATTTTAAGCCCTATAAACCATTTGAATATTTTTTTTTTTATCTCAACTGCACTGGAATTTGCCGAGAAATCCTCATTAACTAGAACTGTTGTCTAGGTTGGGCACTATATTTGGAAAACCTTTGAGGGTATGTCAAAGATGGTTGGAAATTTAACAGAGCTAGATTTACGTACAACTAATTTGACACATCATCCTTCCAAAATTCTGATTTTCAATGTGACATAAACACACACCATTCTTAAATATATATGTATATATAATGCTTTTTAAAAACTGAGCTGCTTTTAAAAACTTTTAAAATTTAGATGTACTCCATGTGCAGATTCCAGGGAGACGGAATCCTGCCTCTTTTTCATACTTTATTAGAGAGGGAGCTGGAGGGAAGCCAAGCTTTTGCTGCACACCAGCTGGCCCCGGAGCCTGGATATACTGGGACTGGGGAAGGGTATGACTGAGAAGGACAAGAGCAATTGTGCAAAAATGTTGTCAAAAAAAAGTGCTTTGTATGGGGACTGCAATGGCCATGTGTTGTGATTACCTGAACTGCAGCATTGTTGTGAATTATCACCCTGCAATGAATAGGAATTGTTGCTTTAGCATTTAACAGATTTTTCTGGTCTTTTCCCTATCTACAAAGAAATATGAAGAACGGACTGATTTAAAGAAAGCGCCTATGTCAACAATCTGTAAGTAAAAAAGATGAAAATCCAAAGGCAAATGATAAATGTATCAAAGAAAACCAAGGAAAGGATGGCACAGGTGTGTAGGAGGGGAGCTGTGAGATGTTAGGAAGATGGAGGCAGAGGAGAATGTGGAGCGAAGCCGAGGGAGGGTCTCTAACTACATTTGTCTGTCCTAGTGTATCCAGTATTCTCTTACGTAAGTCTCTAATGTATGCCCCATGGTACAGAATCTTTTGTAATAGTAGCCTATAGACAAATGCAAAGGAACTAAACAATGGATAGTTTGTTCTGGAAAAACAAGTCATTGTCTTTCTAGGACCTGGCTTCCTGTTGCGTTTAGAATACAATTCAAATACCTACATTACTTTCTAGACCCAACGTGCTTTGGCCCCTGCAAACTCTACCTTCACATCTTCCCCCCGACCCCCCAATACTCACTCTTCAAGCTTCAGCCATACTGGCTTTCTTTTGGTCCCTTGGACTTCTTTTTCTTTTTTTTAGAAACAAAGTCTCACTTTATCACCTTTGGTAGAGTGCAGTGGTGTCACAGCTCACAGCAACCTACAACTCCTGGGCTTAGGTGATTCCTCAGCCTCCCGAGTAGCTGGGACTACAGGTGCTCGCCACAACACCCGGCTATTTTTTATTGCAGTTTGGCCAGGGCCAGGTTCAAACCAGCCACCCTCAGCTAGTGCCCTACCCTGAGCCACAGGTGCCGCCCTGTCCCTTGGACTTTCTACGCTGGTTTACTGCTATTCTCTCTGGAACACTCTTCCCCGGGCTGAATCTTCCCTTATGATCCAGGTATCGAGGTCTCAGGTCAATTGTAATCTCCCTCAAGAAACTTTCCATTCTATGTAAAGCAGTCTACACCACTTCCTACTTCTAGGTCCTCCGTCACATGACCCAGTTAGAGTTCTTTCAAAGCTCTTGTCATTACTGGAAATTCCCTTACTTATTATTTTGGGTTTTCTTTTCTTCTACTTCCCCCACAGAACATAAGCTTCCCAGCGTCAGGGGGTGTCCAGGTTTCATTCACTATCGTATCCCCAACACCCAGAATCACATCTGGCACACAGAGAGCAATGAATGCATGAATGAGAGTAAGGGGCTCAGAGGGAAACTGTCTCTAAATGGAAGGAGAGAATCTCCTCCATCTAATCTCTGGAGGAAGAGAAACAGGCCTAGGGAAGAAAACTAGGAAGAGAGACAAGGGGTAGGAGAATTAGTTACAGTGTATAATTTTGGCCCTGATACAAAGCTTTTCCAGATGTGCTGTTTAGAAGGGAGAAAAGGAAGTTTTTTACATACATTCCCTGCAGAGGGAATGGCCAGCAGAGGCACTTTTTACATCACCACATGCAGCCAGCTCCTTCTCTCCCTGCCATCAGGGTTTTGTTTTGGGGGTATGTGTTGGGGAAGGGGCAGGTGAGTGCTTCTCTCTGGAGAAGGCGGGGTTTCTCTTTCAGACTGCAGGTGCTGTTGCATCTTCTTGTGTTGCCATGGGAATCTCAGATAGGAACACCAGCATGGCGGCTTTGTAGCCTACTCTAGGACTTTTAGGCCAAGAGGCAGGAAACAGTGAAGAAATGATCCCCGTACTGTATCGAGTTTATGCTGGAGTGAGATGGGATGGTCTGGGCAGTAGAGGTGGGCCCCAATTTGGTTTTGTTCAGAAAAAGATAGACGCTGGCACTGCTACAATGTGGGGCCATGGTTGCTTGTACAGTCAGCAGTCCCTACTTTGAATGGCTACATTGGGAGTCCTCAACTTTGGAGTCAGGGAAGAGGAGAGGACAGCCCAGACTATTTGCCATGCCAGAAAAATCCATTCATGGAAAAGAGCAAGAAGGAGAAAAGTCTTCTCAGGAAGCCTCAACGAAGTGGGTACTTTTATTTTTACTGACATGTCTATATGAAAATACACTCAGTCACAAGAGGGAGCATCTTAGGCCTGATTATAATTTAAACTCTGAAAGGTGACCGAGACTGTTAGAGACCTCACTCTCCTGGTAACCTGTGTCCTGTGGTGAGGGAAGGGTATCTTAGTTCTCCTCTAACTCCTTGCTCAGGACTCAATGAGAGACTTCAGCTCTGGGGATAAAGCTGTCAGCTGCCCCAGGGAAGGACAATACACAAAAATGAGACTAATAAGGGACAACATGGAGGAGGATCCAGAAGTTGGTGGGGGAGAAAAGGGCAGCAGGGAGCCTGGTCTGCCGAAAACATCCCAGACTGGCAGCCCTAGTGAAGATCACCAGGGGAGACATCTCGTCTCGGTGTGTAGAAACTGGACATGGAGGGATGGCCTCGGCAGGGGAGGGGACATCTGCATGCAGCCGACAGCTGAATTACAAACAGCAGAAATGTACATCAGCAGTGATTCCCTATCTTGGGCCTGGTTAGATTAGAGTGGCTCTCCTGTCACCGGGCAAAACACTTTCATAAGGAGATCATTAACGCGACAAACTCTGATGAGTTCCCAGCTGGGTGTGGTTCGACTTAGAACAGGTTACTGGAGAAGAGGACGGACAGAGGAGAATCTGCACATCATAATCAGTCATCTAGCAGCTCTGATCACTTTGCACATAACTGCCGGGGGTCACGCAACAGCAACACATATTTATATCTGTTTGTTCCCCAACACTAACATGACAATGGGTTTCTGCCATCTTAACTTACAGAGACATTATTTAGTCCAGGTTACAATCAGGTTTTACAAAAGAGACTCTGACCACATAGATATTTATAAAACGAATGCAGTTAAGAAAAAAAGTCCGGGGGCTGGAAGTCAGAAGAGCTACGCTCCCGTCTTGGCTCTGCTGCTGCTCAGCTGTGTGAACCTGGAGAAGCTGTTTGCCATCTCTGGGTCTCAATGGGCTCATCGTAGAGGGTGGTGATCAAGCCCCACCTACTCCCTCAGGGTTCTTAAACCCACCTCAAAATGGGAGCTCACTGCAGGAATTTAAAAGCCAACTGGGGCACGGAAACAAACCTGACAACTGCTTGAACCCTCTGTTCTAATCATCATTCTCATACAGGGACTTGCTGGCTAGTTGTTTGATGAGATATTTATAAGTTTGGGGAAAAATAATTTCAGATGCCAGTCTCAGAATAAGCTCAGGAGAAGTCTCAGGTCATTTCCAGTTTGAATAAATAATTCTTTTGTTGGCTTTCTTGGAGGTGGGGCTGGACGAAAGCTGAACCACACATCCTTCAAAAGTCACAATGAAAAGTCAGCCTTTGTGCCAGTAGTGTTTGGTTACATAGGTGGCAGTCCTATGCCCTATTTCATACTTTAAACATCACTGTTCTCCTTATCCAAAATATACTGGCATTATATATACTTATCCAGTGAGAGAAATAAACATTTGCCAGTGTCCTCTATCAATGAGGCACTTGCTAGGTGTTGTACATACAGACTGCCACTTAGTCCTGAAGGCAACTGAACAGGTAGGTATTACTGGTCTCGCTTTACTGAGACCCAGGATGGTTATGTGACTTGCTCAAGGTCACATCATTAGGATATGGCAGAGATCTGAAAGAAAACTCCAGGTCTTCTGACTCCAGTCCATACTTTTTCTTTTATAACATCATGCTTCCAAGAAGAAAAAGAAATGAGGGTGAATGGTCAACCAGCAGGGTTAAGGAAAAGGATATGATACAGGCAAAGAGCTCACCCATTCTATACCATTCTGAAATGTCCAGTTTTCAAAGAATCATAATATGATAGAAATATTCACTATTGAATCACGACTGAACATAAGCAATCTAACTTTGATGATCCAGAAGGCCCTTCCAGATCATGCTGTGTCCTATAGTTCTAACAATGTCCGTAATCAGTGCACTACAGATATACAGGGAAAAGATGCCAGGTCACAAAAAAGCCAGATCACCTGCCTCTAAGATGCAGGGAAGGGCATGGCTTTTATCATTTTTTTTTTATTATTATTATACCATGTAAAAGAAACAAATGGAACCTACCCATGTGATACTGCCTTATTTGGCATATATTCTAAACACACATCCATTCTCATACCCAATGAGAAATCAAGTCAAGGGACTTCATCTTTCACCAAATCCTACCCTTAAAATCCTAAAACAATCATTATCAGTATACACAAGATTTTTGGCAGTCACAAGCTCTATCACAAAGCAGAGCTCAAAAACAACTGGTATTTAAGTGCACCCTTGATGAGCGGGTCGGACTGCATGAGGCAGTGTGGCTGTGTGGAGGGAGAGAGGTCCGGATCTGTGGTGAACCACCGCTCCTGCCAGTTATCAAAGCCAAGGCTCTTGATTCACAGATATTCCTCAGCTGTCCCGGTGCCTCTATCCCTAGCAACAGTAAACAACAAAATATCTGCAAGCAACCATGTCTCAGTAAAGAGCTCGATATTTGAATCTCCAAGAAGTGGCCAACTTCCGAAAGGCTTTTCTTGGCACCCTACAGTAGACTGGGATGAAAGTTGTACCGGAGGCTGGAGAAGAGCCCGATGTGTTTCACGAGGTTGGGCTCCACCACGTAGGCTCGCTCTCCCTTGGCCCTCAGCAGCGAGTACAGCGCCATGTCCTTGCCAAAGCCTTTGTGGCAGTACACCTGGGACAGGTAAGTGAGAGTTCGGCGGGCCGCAGGGGCAGGGAAGAGCATGGCTGGCGTGCAACACTCAGAGGCCGGGACCACACTGTACAGAGAAGGACTCAGCCGCCGCAGTTCTAGAAAATAGTGCCGACCCACCAGCTCCACCAGGCCCATGCTGTACAGAGAGAAGAAGAGCATGACGGACCAGCTAAACCCCGGGCGGCTTGCAAACCTCATATAGATCCAGGTGAGCAAGGGCCCCAGCAGCATGCCCACACCGACCCACTCCAGGATCCGCATGGGCTCTGGGTTGATGTAGTGCTGGAGCCTCTCAGGGTGATAGAGCTTTAGATAAAGGGCATCTCTGAGGTGGGGCTCAGAGAAGCGAGCCCGCAGGAGGTGCTCCAAGACCGGGAAGATCTGCTCTTCTGGAACAGCGTCATCTTCCACCATCAGAACATAGTCCGGGTTGTAGGTCTGCAGGGATGACTCCAGGCAGTAGACATAGTCCTGCTTCTCTTTCTCAAAAGAGTTGGTTGAGGGGTCATCGCCATAATCATCCTCAGTGCCCTCGTAGCGGTTGGCCACGGGGACATACTTGGAGAGCAGCTTGGCATCCAAATGGCTCACACTCCGCTCCACGTTGCACAGGAAGAGCTGGTGGCCCTCACACTGGGGGCCGCACTGCTGAAGAAGCCGGTGGAACTGAGACACCACCTGTAAGACATAGTGGAAGCCGGGCTGCCTGTCCACAGTGATGATGGTGATCACCAGCCAGGGCCGGGGGGTGGCCTGCCAGACGATGGGCACTGAGCCGTTGGCAGAAGGCAGCTCCTCGAAGTAGTGGAGAGCAGCCTCGCCCTCCTTCAGGCTTTGCTGCAGGAACTCTTGGCTCATCTGGTTCAGATGCCAGTGGCGCAGATAGAAGTAAGAGTGCAGAAGCCGGTGACAGGCCAAGGGTGCCAGCAGGCCGAACGTCACCACCGTTAGGATGAATAGCTGGACAGCAGTGCTGCCCCAGGAGAGTCGTCTCAGCCTCCGGAGGAGCATGGCAGCTGGAGAGGTTGAAGGGCTCATGAGGGTAACTTCTGGTCACGTCTGGTCCCAAGAACAAATCATCCTGGAGCTCAGGGCAGAATCATCGGAAGTAAAAGCTAAAGTGAGAGAGGAAGTTGGGAAAGGTAGGGTTAACTTCCAAAACTTCAAGGACTGAACTCTGTTTATATCGAACCAGGAATTCTAAGTCAAGGCTGTATATCTAGTGGAGACTTTTTCTTTTCTTTTTGATTTTTTTTATTTTAGAGACAGGGTCTTGTTTTCTCACCTAGGCTGTAACACAGTGGTGTGATCATAGCTCCCTACAGCCTCCAACTCCTGGGCTCAAGAGATCCCTGCATCAGCCTCCCGAGTAACTGGACTATAGGTATATGCCATCGTACTCAGTTAATTTTTTTTTTTTTGAGACAGAGTGTCACTTTGTCACCCTGGGTAGAGTGCCGTGGCATCACAGCTCACAGCAACCTCACACTCTTGGGCTTGAGCGATTCTCTTGCCTTAGCTTCCCAAGTAGCTAGGACTGCAAAGCAACCGCCACAAACCCTGGCTATTTTTTGTTGCAGTTGGCCTCCTCCTGCCCGTGGCCTCCCAAAGCACTGGGATTACAGGTGTGAGCCATGTTCCCAGCTGATACTAGAGATTTTATTTTCTGCAGTTAATTGTTCTTTGGTTGTATCTGCTAATGATCTCTGGGATGCTTGTATTATTTCTATGAGTAACAAGTTCTCAATGCAGTCAAACAGGTCTCCACACCCAAAGATGCTTTGACAGGTTGTACAATGTACCAGAAAACCACCAGTAGGCTGGTACGATCATTATTCTATTCACCAGTCATAAAGACATGGGTTCTCAAAACAGACACAACAAACTTGCCACGAAAGAAGCACACACTTTTAGAGCAAGCTCCAGCATAAGTACAGTAAATACTTGTTTGTCAACTATGCATAGTAACTTCTGTTAACAAAAACTGTCTTCCACATGTACCAAATAAGAAAAGGAATACTTAGGGTTCCCAGAAATGTCTTTGCTATTTAATGTCATCTTCTATTCATAGTTCTCTGCTCTCATGCAACTCTACTCTAAATTGCATGTTAATTTAATCCTGATGGTTCTGTTTGTTTTTATAGAACCTTCATGAGAACCAGTGTGAGAAAGTATCTCTCAGATGCAAGCACATTCTAGAGCCCCAGACCGTGGGTGGGGAGGGAACATTTGGGGGAAGGTCTGGGAGTAGCTTTTCAAGGAGAGAGAGGAGGGGTAGCCAGAAGTGAAGATAGAAGAGGCAGCTTCCCCCCATCTAGTCTAGAAAGGCATGCTTTGTGATGGGAAGGTTCAGAGAGCAGCCTAAGGTGCAGGCACATGTTGGTGCGAATCCCAGCTCTGCCTCTCACTTGATGGGAAGTCACTTCATGTCTCCACATGTTAGATTCCTCAGCTCCAAAATGGAAAAATAATAAAACCTGCTTCATAGAATTATTTGCAAATATTAGGTGTGTTAGGGAGTAAAATAATGCAGAATGAAAATGCCATAAAATATATCCACATGTTCAACTCAAAACAGTATTTTAGGAGTGAGTAGGTCTTACGTACAGATGGAAAACAGACTTGTGTTAAGAAACAAAATATAAGGCCAGTATAAAAGGAGTAAGGGCCATGCAAAATTAAATGGTGCCTGCAGTACAAAAAGTAAACCTCTTACCTTAGAAGCATAATATAATCAGGCTGTGCACATTTGGAAGAAAACTATGTGGCTTGTGAGTTATGATGAAGGAAGGACTACCCAGGCAGCATACACGGCTGCTGTGGAGCAGAGTCAGCCAGTGTCCCCAGGGCCATGTTTTCCCATGGGCACACAGGGTCACCTTTGCTCACCTGCCTCCTTCCAGGTGGGGCGATGTGACAGGCTTGTCAACAAACTGACAGGTGTGACATCTGGGCCAAGGTGGTTGAGAACGGATGTGCCATCCTAATTTTCTCCTCCCCCATCTGCCAGCTGAATGGAGAGCCTTGGTGGATCTAGAGGAGGGTGGAACCACCACTAGATGGCAAGAGCCAGGGTCTCTGAATGGAATCGCATGGAATAACAGGCCCCTCCTACAGCCCACCTCACAGTATCCTACTGACCTAGAGTGGACGAGTGGACTTTGTTGTGAGCAATACTTAAAGCACTGTGTCTAGGCACTAATGATTTTTGGACTAGTTAATTACAGCAGTTTGCCTATCCTGCCCTCTACAATTGTATAGAATACCAAAAATCTATACTACAATAATATGGTAATTTAAGGAAGTAATAATAGAGAAATAAATTCCATTTCAGCAACAGAAGCAGATTGTACTAAGGGACCCCAGAGGTGAGATAGACTATCCCAGTACTCGTAAGAGATCTGGACAGCGCTCAAAGAAAGAAAAAGGCAAAGAGAGCTTTGAACAGTATACAACTCCAGGCATGCTGGGTGGTAACTTCTAGGCTATGAGTGGCTGGCTGCATCTCCCTCTGAATGCTCAGGCCAATGGAGTTAATAAATCATGCACATCAATGTGGCCTCTCCAGCTCCACATTATTACTACGGGGAGCCAAGTACTGGAACTGGGCTGAGTTCACAGTCTTTGCACACTGGCCTTGGGAAAAAGGCATTCAAATGACTTCCTGCTCACAGTATTCTCCATGCCCTTCCTATTCCCTGAGGGAGATGGACCCATCTACAAAAGAGAACTAAATGGAGTCAACAAGACGAGGAAGGCAGCTTGGAGAATGCCAGGCATGTAGTAAGTGCTACTACTTAGTATGCTAAGGCGATTGGGAAGCCCTTAGTATTAACATACAAAGGATGTTTATTACCCTGGGCAATTTTCCCTACTGGGGGCAAGAAAATCACTAGTATATCACAAAGTCCCTTACTTTAAAAACACAGCTGGGACTGCTGTTCTGATGATCAGTTCAGAGGACACAGGGCCCTGCCTACATCCATCAGCTCTTGCTGGGGTGATGAACAGCCCCAAATCATCATACCTTAAAATAACAACACACATTTCTTGCACACATGTCTGTGGATAGCTGTGGCTCAGTTAGGTTCAGCCCCAGAATGTAGGTTGGCAGTAGGTTGCTTCGCGTGCCCCTTCTTCTAGATCAAGGTGCAAACCAAACAGCTACATGGATGCACAGAAAAGCAGAAGAGGCCAATTCAAAACACACAGGGATGTTTATGTTCAAATAAGAACACAAACCAAGGGCACCCAAGTGTTTGTGCCGTTGGCCAAAATAGTGGGACAGGGAAATTTGCTCCTCCCACAGAGCATTAGAAAAGGAAAGTGAAGATTCAAGAGAAAGGATTTAACTGGCAACAGGCCAATTTCTAAATCCTCCAGAGAAAAGAAAGCATCTAGCAATCTGTTCAGAGTATGGAAAATTACTAGAATGCTCCCAGGGCATAAGACTCAGCCTCCCCCCACCCCATAATTATACACTGTATGAATCAGGGCAGGCTTCCAAAATCTCAGAGGTTATAAGAATTAAGGTTTTAATTCTTGCACATGTTACTTGTGCATTCTAGGTAAACTGTACCTCTGTTTCACATTGTCTATACTTGAGAACCCGCGTAGTTGGAACTGCATTTTTTTCTTGAGCATTGCTGGGTTTGTGGCAGAGAGAAAAATGAGAGATAAGAAACCACAAGCTAGCTCCCAAAGCTGCTACTCAAAATCCACCCACATTTCTTGGGCCAAAGCAAGTCACATAATAACTCTTTTGAGTTCAACAGAGCAGAATTATGTGATAAGAAGAGTGTACCAAGAGACACAAGGACAAGTCAATGACTCAGGAACTACTCGTTTCTTTAGTGAGGGGCAGAAAAAATTTTAAAGGATAATGCAACCTACTACACCACGGTGGGCCAGAGGAGCAGATCCCTTCATTCAATGATTAGAAGACTGATTGGCCAAATATCTGCCCACACAGAGTTACATAAGTAATCAAAAGTAGATTCTTGGCCAGGTGAGATGGCTCATGCCTGTAATCCTAGCACTCTGAAAGGCCAAGGAAGGAGGGAGGACTGCCCAAGCTCAGGAGTTCAAGACCAGCCTGAGCCAAAATGAGACCCTCATCTCTAAAAAAAGAAAAATAGCTGGGCCTCGTGGTGGGGGCCTGTAGCCCTAGCGGCTCTGTAGGCTGAGGCAAGAGGACAGCTTGAGCCTGAGAGTTCCAGGTTGTGAGTTATGACGCCACGGCATTCTATCATGGGTGACAAAGTGAGACTCTGTCTCAAATTACCAAACAACAAAAAAACAAAAGTACATTCTTGTTTGCTTTTTAAAATAATGCCACCTAGAAATTATTTCACTTTACTGGTCTAGTTTTAAGACAACTGACATTAGGGGAATGCGGATGTAAAAACAGGGGTTTTCAACTGGGGAAAAGAGTTCTTTACTCCCAGCCTAAGTATGAGGGGGTATGACAGAGGAGGACTATACTTTGGATTTGGCATCTGCTAAAAAAGAATGAAAGAAAAGAAAATGAAAGGGGAGGGAGAAAAGAAACTAAAAGAAGAAGGAGGGCTCTATCTACATTACCTTTCTGATTGCTTTTTCCAGAATTCCACAGTCACCTGTGGTATTGCAGGCTCAGCCTCATGCTCCAGCAACACTGTGGCCTGACTGGCATATGAGTTGGCTCGAGTGACAACCAGGCCATTACAGCCCCGATTCTATGGAACTATTTTTACTGAGTACTTATCTATGCCGCGCACACGGACTATGAAACACAAGCTTTCTCTAAATTGAATTCCACCTGTTATCAAGTCTTGGTGTAGGGCTCAGGGAAGACAGTAAAAGACAAAGATGTTGAGAAATGAACATGAAGTAGGGTGTGGATGAATGAACGGAGTGACAATGACAGTTACATTTTCGTGCAGCTACTGAGAATTAAAGTAAAGGAACTGTGTAGAGGGCTGGGCTCAGTGGCCTGTAATCCTAGCATGCTGGGGGGCCAAGGTGGGAATATCCACTAAGCTCAGGATTTTGAGAGCAGCATGAGCAAGATTAGCCGGTTATTGTGGTGGGTGCCTGCAGTCCCAGCTACTCGGGAGGCTGAGGCACGAGAATC